TATATATATATATAACAAAAGGAGTGGGGAGAAATAATAATATAGAAAGTGAAAGAAGTGGGTGAAGTTTCACTTTAATGTACCTTGGGCCACTTCGAGATGCCAATGCTAAAATCACTGCACTTGAATGGTAATTGTGACGCGGCCATAGACGGCTTGAATTCCAGCCCATTCGGGGCATGGGTGACCCTGTCAACACCGCCTGGCTTGGCAGAAGTTGATTTAAAAATCAAGTGAGGCGGACGGAAAATTATCGGTCGAACAGTGGCTATGTGATATCAGATTCAGTCACTGTTCAGGTAGCTGCAGCTGCCTGAATACAATAGCAAGCAGGGGGAATTCCTCAATCCGCACTGCCATATGTGGCTTGCAGGGATGAGATCAGATTCCAACCTGAGCTCCTTTAAGTCAGGAGGGGCATGGGGCCACCTACCCAATCAGAAACAGTCCGGGCATTCCCCACCCTGAAACAACACATAAACAAAGGGGCAGAATGCTCACGCTGACATCTTTGACCTTATACAGGTGAAACTCGAATAATTAGAATATCGTGCAAAAGTAATTGCAGTAAGTGCTGCAAAAGGGGCCCAAACCAAGTACTGAGTACATATGCATGCTTGTACTTTTCAGAGGTCCGATATTGTTCTATGTACAATCCTTGTTTTATTGATTGCATGTAATAATCTACTTTTTTGAGGTTGTGGATTTGGGGTTCTTGGGGTTTTCATGAGCTGTAAGCCATAATCATCACAATTATGACAAATCACGGCTTGAATTATCTTGCTTTGCATGTAATGAGTCTATCTCATATATTAGTTTCACCTTTTAAGTTGCATTAGTGAAATAAATGAACTTTGCACGATATTCTAATTATTCGAGTTTCACCTGTATGCCCATATTATGTCAATGTCATTGAGCAAATAATCCATATGGCCATATAAAGTCATTAATAGCACAGTATACTGCCCCTTTATTTGCATGCAGTTATTGGGCAGCAGTGGAAGGAGCTTCCCCCCGGGTTCAGAGGAGCTCAGGTTTGGACCAGGTTCCATCTGAATCTGAGCTCATCTCTAGTGGCTAGCATAGGTCTCGCATACTAAGCTGCTATAAATACACAGTTGAAGTGCATAATTCTTTAGGACCTGTTCACAACTTTGCATTATACCGCAAAACATAAATGAAGGTGCCATGTAATTTAAATGGCACACCAATCCACCATTAGGGCCTATGTTAATAGGTTTGGGCTTATGTCAGTGAGCGAATGGGCCATAAGGTGCATTACAATTGCATTTGAGCTCAGAGTTCATTGGCACGTGCATTGAACCGTCTAACCTGCTTGAAGCTGCTTTTCCATTACCATTTAAGTGTAAGG